TGGTAATCCAGGGAATGGGGCCTACTCATCTATCAAACCCCGCCCCTGAGAGCATACCAATTCATCAAGCACCTAGAAGGGGCCAACTATCAGCCCAAATTCGTCTCATACCCAATCTCCAATCACAACCTCCACCCTAAACGCAGAACCTCAGACCGAGATCCTAGAGACCTTCTTTACTCAGGAAAGTCAGCGTCTCGCAGAATAAACCACGGCTAACCTTCCAGCCAGAACTTGATTAAAAGACTTGGAATTCGACCCCAAGGAATGGATATGAAATCTGGATAATACAAACAAGACAGGAACGATATTTGAATACGATGTGAAATTCCGAGACAACCTCAGCCGACGGACTGCAGATCCAAACTCTCGGCTAATACAGAGATCATGGAGGACGACCCTGAATCTACACTCGTCAGCCTCCTTCACCATTTCTTGGGCAAAATACCTTCCCATCAGACCGATACGAATCCCCAGCATGCAATGGCTCACACAATGGCTCATAGCCCACGCGACTCTCCCCGTCAACCACTGCCTCCATAACTGGAGAAAACAATCGGATCCCAATAGCTCAGAACAACGCGCTATGTGCAAAACCAGTGCTGCACCAGAACTTATCCCTCACTGCCTCCTCTTCTTCCCCGAGGCAGCGTGCATCTGGAACACGATCCGGACCCTATGGTCCATCCTCTTCTCTTCACCACCATGACCACCCCCCATTTACCATTCTGCCTCTCTCAAACACCCCGAGCCCGAGGAGCCTCAAAGGCAGCACGGACACCTGGCTCAAGTTACTCAGGAAGTTGACACTGTGGCTCATTTGGAAACGCAGAGGCACACACTGTCAGGCAATCGACGGCCCGGGACAGAAGTAGCAACAGAGGAAAATTCAATGGTGGACGTGGCTGCTACTGAGGATGGTGGAACTGAAATTCGGAGCAGTTGACGAAAGGCGGTCGCTTCAACAATACACAGGCCAGAAAACCACGCAATCAAGAGAGAGAGATTTGACAGACAGGTTAACACGGCGCAAGATCGCCACCATGACAGAGAACAGGCTGGTTTGGAAGAAGTGGTATTACTCTGAGCCGCCATGAAGGGTCCCACCAAGAGGATCACGACAGCGGAACAGCAGGATTGAAGGCGGAACTTCCTGCGGTTCTCACAAACTCAAGCTGTATCAGACAGGACCTGAAGCGCAACCTGAGAGGAAGTGTAGGGAAGGGCAAGCTGACAGTCAATCCTCCTCCAAGGAGTAATCAATGCTGGCCAGGGATTCTTCGGCCAACGGAAGGATGCGTGAGGGTGCTCACCATATATTTTTCATTCTTGACCTGCCAGGGGAATAGGAACTGGACTGACGCTCCCCAGAATGGATAAGGAGCTAGTCCATAAGGACCTGTTATTCAAAGAGAAAGGAAAAATAAAATAAAAAAATAAAATAAAATATCAAAAAATTGAGACACGGGACCTGATTTCCAGCTATTATAATGAAAATTTCACAATTGTGATAATTTTTGAAACACGGCTCAAACACCCCTTTTAGTTGAGATATATCCCAAAATGCCCCTACAAGATGTGGGTAGAGCGGAATTACCCTCTGACAAAAATTACGTTTTGCGAAATGCCCCTGGCGTCGGTTGGACCTGCCGTCTTTGGAAAATACCCCTGGGTAGTGTTCATCTTTGACAAAATGTCCCAGTGCTTGCCAACTTTTCCCAGGCCCTATGTTATGTCGCTTTACCACTAGTGGCCCAGGTCATCTTTGCATTTTGCCCCCTCGTGCACACACACACACACACACACACACACACACAGAGTTTGCAGGAGTGGCGAGCAGGAGAATTTCAGAGATAGTGACGTAGCATACGAGGAGCTGGAGATGGGGAGCCTTACCATGGAGGAGGATGAATAAAGCTGCCGAACACAGCATAAGACAGCGTCAGAGACTTCGAACAAATTTGGAAGCCTGAATCACAGATGCAAATTGCCCCGCCGACGACGCCTGGGTATTGCACAAAGTTGCCCACCAGATATGGAGGGCAAACCGGGTAAAACAGGGTGCAGGCCCAGGCCCCACCAATAGTCCACATTGCAAATTTGCACGCGGTTCTGACAGGAGCAAAGTGCAAAGAATTAGGCCCAAAAGGACATACCGCTCTACCCACATCTTTCAGGGCATTTTGGGATATATGTCAACTTGATAGGGGCATTTTGCAAATTATCCCATGAAAATTAGATAGAAGCATTTGAGCAGACGTACAGGAGGAATATTCAAGGGACTGCGAGTAAAGGGCATGCAAAAGACCGTCACAGCTGTCCCGGACACATTGTGTAGATGGAAAGTCACCTTTTATTAGGCTCTTCATGAGGCATAACAACCGTCAGGACTGAGACCGTGCTTTATTTTCCTCTCTTCTTCATCAACATCCCATGTGATATGCTTGCAGGTGCTGCGGAAATTGTGCGACTCCTTCCAGGAATGATAATGGCATTCGGTAGTGTGTAGAACTACACCGGTTTGCAAGACCGGGGCTATTAACCGCTCAGCCATCTCTCCTATCGAAAGGGAATTGAATTCCATGCAAAAACTATTATGATAAAATACACTCAAAAAAGAAAAGTTGACTCCTCCCAGGAATGCTAATGGCGTTCGGCATGAGACAACCTCGCTGATGCCTCGTCTCCTCAGGCAGGCAGTTCGAAAACACAAATTTTGGGCGATAGCACGAGAAATCGTTCAAACCACCGCCCCGTCCAGACCCATTCGATAAACCAGACTTTCTTCACAAGGCTCGAAGAGTTGTTCACGGCGCTCAAAGAGTTCCTATCACAATGGCTCCAACCCATAGAGCCTGCACTTCGCATTTTCCTACGCAGTCACGTCCTGAGAAAAAGGGGCTGTTGTACCGAGTCCGGGCACTACAGATTTTGACCCGGCACTTGTCGACAAGAAAAATGAACAGTGCAGAGGGGGAAATGGAGTGTTGGACCAAGGGACATCATGAAGTCGACAGACAACCGCCAGTTATCGTTCAATTATCGTTCAGAAAGGCTGTCTCCTTCTGTCCCAATGTTGTGGTCTACAGCACAAAACTACCAACCACATTTGGAAGGGCTAATTGACTCGTCTTTGAGACATGATGATCAGAAGGGGATAAAGGGCTAACAGGCAATCGTGATCCAGAGCCGCACCTGACCCAACAGGCATGCGCGAAACTGATTTCCACAGTCCACCCAATCTTTTGATTCAGTACCTTCCCAGGCGAGCCATGGACGTCGAGGCGAGTCCTCAAACCACCAGCACACAGCCATGCATCAGCCTTGGGCGCCTCCCCGCGAGTTTCGCAGGGCCGAAACACGACACGGGCCATTGATGGAGTTCATCAACCGGCCCCGCACTTTTCAGACCAGGGGACGAGTTTCTTTTCAACAAGGCTGGGGCTGCGTACTGGCAGTTCGACTCGTCAATGAGACAACCTACCTCCTCTCCCCAACATAGGGAGAGGCGCCAGTGCAGGCGGTCCTCGGAGGTGTGCATGGCTTTGGATAGACTCCAATTATATACACAACTCCTTCGTCACAAAACGTGAGCATCCAAACCTGACGCAGACCTGGAGTGGTAGGCGAAACTCACAAACATGCCCCTGCCCCTGAACTGGCTTACTGCCATCTTCCGCACGTTCAGGTTTGGAAGGTAAGTACTGGATGTGAAATGCACCTGGTCACACAGGATTCGTCCTCGACTTCCCGGTACTATCCGGAGGAAGAGAGGTTGTATAGAGACCTCCCCACAACACCCTCCATACAATGCCCCTGTGGACAGAATGGTCAGCACTATCTAATATCTATGGTGATACAAACAAAATTCCCTAAGCTTCGCCCTCTTTTTTTTTTGTCTAGTTTCCCTTTTTTCAGTTATCAAAGTTGGTGTTTTGTTATTCCTAGTTGTTACAAAACACGAAGGGGTCCAACGGACAAAATTCAAAATTGTTCTATTTGAGTGTAATTTCTTTCTCGTTGGTGTTTCTTCTTTATTTATTATTGGGTAGTTCCCATTATTTGGAACCAAGTTCCACTCAAACACCTGCTCACATTCTGTGGTAACTTCTCTGGCCTCGGGAAGTGAAGCTGACAAACAGCTTCGGTCGCACCTTCCGACTCACGCGTAGCTAGAGTATTGATTTCCTGCCCTACAAAACCCAACCGTCTCGTTACTCCTTACTGTGAAAACCAAACCCAGTTTGATTCCAATTGTCTCGGTATTCCTTACTGTGAAAACCGAGCCCAGTTTGGTTCTCAGGGAAGTACTTATGCTATTCTTTATCGACCCCAGGTGGGATTCCAATTGTCTCTGTATTCCTTACGGTGAAAACCGAGCCCAGTACTTATGCTTGATTCTTTGTCAACCCCAGGTGGGGTGTCTACAAAAGGTCCTCTGAGGGCACATCCAACATCAACAGCTCCACCCCTTTATATTCACTTGTATGTTACCTGGGGAGGAAACAGCAGAAAAGTCAGGGTAGGATAAGGGAAGGGGGGGTTGTGGAGGGGTGAGACACAAATTGGGGGGGGGGGGGGGGGGGGGGGGGGGGGTCAAAACCACCGGGAGGGGGGGGGGGAAACGGTAATTAAGTTACACTTCCCCAGGGGGGGGGGGAAAGGGACAAGCAACAGGAAAATAAGGCTACACAACCCCTCAAAATTAATAAAAAGATGAACACAATTCCCATGTGAGAATCTAGTTGTGCAAAATCCTACGGTACCAAAGGAGGGGTTTGGAAAAAGGGTGCCAGGCCAAAAACGGGATGCAGCCGAAACAGCAAAAAGATAGACCAGGGATCGAGCCNCCATCGTCAGGGGGAGGGGCAAACGGTAATTAAGTTACACTTCCCCAGGTGGGGGGGGAAAGGGACAAGCAACAGGAAAATAAGGCTACACAACCCCTCAAAATTAATAAAAAGATGAACACAATTCCCATGTGAGAATGTACTCAGACATCTGAACAGCACAGCACCGATCATCCACTCGGCCATCGGCGAGTCAAGTTGGAAATCTGAAAACACACCTCCTGCAAGCGCACTGCCACCAGTCTGCTTGCCTGCTCACCAGCTCCGTCCCTTCCCTGCCCTTCCCCTCCCTCTCCCACCCCCCCCTCCCCTCTTTTCTCTCTTTATTTTTATTTTCCTCGTCTATGATCTATCATGATTTGTGGTACACTGGGCATCCACTCACTTGGCAGGACTGCATGCAGAGAGATAACACTAACTGCAAACACGTCCTTCTTCCTACCATACACACACCGATGCATATGTGCACACATCATCCTCCATTCACCCCCTTCTCAATTCCCTCCCCTCTCCCCACCCCCCCTCTCCTCGACAAACCTACTACACACGAAAGGATTGCATACTCTCTTCACAGTAACCCTCCTGAGAAAAGCCAAAGCCAATCAGCCGAAGCCAACAACAGCACAGACCCACTTCCACCTCTCTCGGACAAATCCCTCTTTCTGAAGAAGACCACAGGAGATGTTCCACAGGTCATTTCTGGGACAAGATGCTCTCGCTTGCTGAGGAAGACACGAGATCAACATTGAACATACATCAGATTGAAGACCTCATCAGATTGAAGACCTCACTCCTTGCACTGCAAGGAATGCTGCAATAGGATTTGCTACAATTGCATCAACTGGGACCTTCGCCACACGCCAAATCACCTAAACACCCGTGACAATAATCATCTCATCTGGCCCAGCAATAATCGTCCACTTCTCCTCACCATGATCTTATAACTAGGCGAAATTACCAATATTCTGGCACCTTCCCCCCAAATGACAGGACCTGCAGCATCTTCATCACATTTTGCGTGCAGCACCAAGATAGACATAAGAACAGCACATTGTGGTGTCTCCATTACATGCAGTGTCTCCATCAGCTAGTGTGATCTTCATTCCTTACGCATACACTCGATGTCATCTCCACGCACATATGGCATATCATAAGAACACTAGTGCGACCTTTCCTGGTTATACAGCACGTGTGGCACCATCACTACAAACTGCAGTACTGGCCAACATAAGAAAGCCAGCAGACAAGGCCCTGAGCGACCAGGGCATACCATCCCTGAGAGACCTGAACGAAGATTTAATATGCCGCCATCCGTTGATCCTCACAAACACCATGACTGACAGCGAGACATCCGCTTGTTCTCATGAGATTCGGAAAATCTCACCTTGGGGTTGCCTCCCCTGGCAATGAGGCTATACATTTCATATATTCAGTATCGAATGCCTTCACCAGTTTCACATTGATGTTGATGTTCTCGTGGATTCGTCTGCCCTCATCCCTCATGTCCCCTTTTGGGCACGTGCCCTTTTGTTTCAGTTCCACTGCGTTTTACAGCCCCTGCCTTTTCTTACAGCTTCGGTATTCCCTACTCTCTTGCCCCCTTTCACATGTACCATTCGCAATATTCTCTACAAATGTAGCTCTCATGATTGCCAAATCATCATTCACTAATAACGTCATGGAGTACTCTTCCCTCCCATCCTCCAATCCACACAACCTTCTTGCCCGTGCAAGTTGTTGACATCCAAAACAGAACCTCACATCCTCCATCCTTCTTGCATTACACCCTCCGCAACTCTCCATTAACTTTTTCTTTCCATGACAACCACCCGTTTACCTGCAGGTTCTTTTGGCATTCCCTCTCTTCATTCTCTCCTCCATTCTCAATATAATTATCATCGTTATCAAACTCGTAACCACAAGTTCAGCAACCTCTCTCTGTGTGTGTGTGTGTGTGTGTGTGTGTGTGTGTGTGTGTGTGTGTGTGTGTACGCTCATCTTCGCTTTCCCTTTTCACTGTCATGCCTTGTCAGCAGACAGACAGGCATTGGACAGCCCATCCTCAGGCTTTCTGTCTTCCTCACTAACCCCATTGAAGGGCAAGTTTACAATAGGACTCTTCTGAATGAATTTAGCTGCCAATGTGGCGAGATACATTTCAGGGAAGTCCAGGAGGGAGTATGCCCTGCTGCTTTCCCCATCCTGAGACTTCCATTGCAGCTCTGCAAGGCCCATATTTTATCACAAGTGACTTGGTCAGAAACAGACCCCCTCGAATCAAATGCCCAGGCTCTGCAAACCACGCCGAGCTCTCTTCCATATAATTACACAACCGTCACGCAGAGTCATGTTGTCTGCAGTTAGGTACGTGGTACATCGAGAAGAACCTCCCCTCCATTTCTCGACTCTTGAACGTTTGTCCCCCCCCGCCTTTGAGACTTGGCTAAAAGCGGTTCAGCAGCCTCCGAAGGCCTCCACCCAAGGCCATGATGTGCATCAACGCCGGCCAAGTTCATCTCTGGTCCTGCATCAGAGATATCATATTTGACATTTGCCAGACCAGTACAACATCCTTTTCAGAAGAGCTTATAACCCTCGACACTACACTCTGAATCTCCAGCAAGTTCCGAGTCGTTCAAGCAAAAAAACGTTCTGCCCATCTCCTCCTCCCTTTCCTCCATGTCTTCCTCTTCTCTTCCTCCTCCTCTTCCTCCTTGACGAGCATTCTTGTGCATCAACCATTCAACGTTGTTTTCAAATATCCTAAACAAGCTGCGGTCTTTGATCTAACAAAGACATGTTTTCACTCGCACTTACAAATACACGGTTAAAAAAAAAAAAATCCCGGTCTTCGCCAAAACCTCGACTGTTCCAAGTACAAGTAACATGAAAGGCACGATGACAACATGAGACGATCAGCAAACTACTTTTCCGCCCATAGTGTCCACCTCCACCTCCCTCTCTTCGATCTTTCCTCCCTCCTTACCTCACCTACATCCCTCCCTCCCTCCCTCCCTCCCTCCCTCCCTTCCTTGCTCCCCTTCCTAACCACGTATTTACATTCAAGGTACCCGACAAAATCTCATCCCTTCTATAATCTCAACTATCTCCCATCTTGTCCCCTCCCCCCCCTCCCCAGCCCTCTCTCTATGTACACAACTTTCCTTGAAGGCACCCCTCCTTTGAGCCCTCGATACATCCCAGGCTCCTCCTCCTTTCTATTCCTACCTGTCTGCGCCTACCCTATCATTAACGCCTAGCATACTACTAGGACTCCTATTCTATTCCTACCTCTCTGCCCCTACCCTATCCCTAACGCCTAGCATACTACTAGGACTGGGTCGTGTGGTTCCGTCTCAAACCCACAAGAGTTTTGAGAAAGAGACGGCCAGAAAATGAACCGACACAGAAGAACACTTCAGCAGCAATTTTACAGCCCTACACAACTAAATGCTCCTGCAAGACTGTTGGACTACAGACCTGAGTTCAAACCTAACGGAAAGCAGAGGAGTAAAATATTACATTTCAAAACAAAAGAAAAAACAAAAAAAAACTCCAGCAACCCAAGAATACCCTGGGATTTGCACAAAAAGAGGCCGAACTCTATAAAAAACACAAAAGGACGTAAATCTGAAGTTGAATTGAATCCCCCTCCCCCTCTCTATCCCCCTCCCTTTCTCCCGTTTGGAATGCGGAAAATTCCAAACGATGTTTGCCTTTACGTCTTTTGTGAAGTTAAGCCACCAGACGCTCATGTTCAGATCTATCAACGTCAACTCCCATCAGTTCTGCAACCTGCACAGGACAAGGACCCAACAGCAAAAGGCAAAAGGAATTGGGCTGTTATGTCAGTTTTTACAATTGGAGAGCATTTTGTGCGCTCTTGCTCATGAACCCTGATCACCCACTTTAGAGTCCAGTATCAAGCAAAACTTCAGCGGTCCATCTACGAAACAGACAAAAGTGTCAAAATCCCCAGCAGTTGCATAATGCCAGAACGTAAACACCGCAATCATTTGCAACAACAAAACAGGGAAACACGAAGGTAGAAAACAAAACCATTACGCATTGCGACACGGATAAGTGGGTCTTACATTCACAACTTCACACGACAAAGGCAGAAAAGAAAAAAAATAGCATGCGGGAAAGCTCCACTCACAACTTCACACGACAAAGGCAGAAAAGAAAAAAAATAGCATGCGGGAAAGCTCCACCGTGACTCGTCAATGAAGGCTTGACAAAGGGACTTCACACGACAAAGGCAGAAGAAAAATAGCAATGCCGGAAAGCTCCGTAGTGGCTCATCCAGGCTTGACAAAGGGAGCAGGTTTCTTTGAACTGGCCTGGTGCTTCACACAAAAAGGCAGAGGAGCACTCCTGTCAAGATGGAATCTCCACATGCAGAATGCAAATTCCTGCTCGTTCAGATCGCGGGCCTCGCTCCACTCAAAATTCTACATGCATCTGATCACCATTCTGGCCCATGTGCATTCCAAGGAGTCCAACAATGTGAATGTACGAGGACGGTTATGAGCTCCTGATGCATATAAGAGTTTTGTGCGGTGCCTCAAGCAGATAAAACCACAACTCTTTCTGAATCTGTGCATGGGAGGATTGTTTGATTTGTGCACTTCCACAACCCCAGGCAGCTTATGCACACACACACACACACACACACACACACACACACACAACACACACACACACACACACACACACACACACACACACACACACACCAAACACGCACAACACACACTCACAACACACACACACACTCCCAAACAAACGAAGGAACTCAAGAAGGACGAGTGAATGGGAGACAATCACACGGAGGCATTGATAGTTTTTTTTCTGGCTCGTCTTAAACAACTGTAAGATAGTAGTGTGCTTCCAATAAAATAAAATTAATGCATCCAATCAAGACCAAACCAGAGTTCAATGCCCTTCACATGGCCAGCGGCTGAAACACACAGCGGTAACTAGTCAGCCACAGGTTGAGAGTTCAAATCTGGTACAACAACGTCAGGAGCTAGCATAGCTGCGCTAGACAGATGGACACATGGATCCGAATGCCGCCAACTGAAACTGACCTCTTTGAAAGAAAAGACGTCTGATCCCCACAGCCACGCATGGCATCCGGCATCTCTCGCCCCCCACACATCGTTGCGGCGATCATCTCCAACATGAACTGCTTCGTGCGGTTGCACACCAAGCTGCTCAAGGGCATGCAAGAAAATCACCGGGTTCGGTTTCTCCGCACGAACCTGTTTGGATATCAATGGAACAATTCACAAGCAAAAATTCGAGCACAAGTCTCAGAAATTAGACGGGTCACAGGAAGAAAAACATGCCAAGCTGCAAACATACCCTCTGTTCAGAAACATCAGAAGTCCGAAACATATACATAACATGCAAGTGCATTAGATTGAATTTGAATTTGAATAATGAAACCCAAGTCAGCATATCAAGTAGGCCGATGCGCAGGTCAGTCCAAAATGAATGTGAGAAGAAACCGTACAGAAGAGTTGCAGGTGGGAGGGGGGGAAAAAACACAGAACACTACAGCCTGCAGTGACTGAGGCTCTGTTTAAACTTTAAAATTGCTGTGCTGATAGTCCTGTGGCCTAAAGGCATTACTCGACCTGTGCAATTGCAGCCATGACATTATTGCTGGTCCCGTAACGGCGCTTGGGCTGTAAAACTATTTTCCAAAGCCATAACCGTAGCCGCTGTGTTGGTAACCAGTGCCATTGTGTTGGTAACCAGAGCCACTGCTTTGGCATGGCAATCAGCGCCCGCTGGGGTTAACTCCCACCATGGTTGTAGCTGTAGTCACCGCCGCCCTTGTGAATAGTCCAACAGCCCAAAGCAGCGGGTGCTAGTGCAGCTACCAAGCCAGAAGGAACCGTGTTAGTACTCCGTATACGAGGTACAGACGGTTTAAAATACCAAGTACTGCTGGCCGTGACTGACGTTGTTCAAATTCCCGTGGTGAATAGCTAGCTCTACAGCCCAAAGACATCACTGGACCCATAACCACAGCCATGACGTTACTGCCGGCCTGGTAATGGCTTGGACACTTGGGATATTTGCTTTGGCATGGCAATCAGCGCCCGCTGGGGTTAACTCCCACCATGGTTGTAGCTGTAGTCACCGCCGCCCTTGTGAATAGTCCAACAGCCCAAAGCAGCGGGTGCTAGTGCAGCTACCAAGCCAGAAGGAACCATGTTAGTACTCCGTGTATGAGGTACAGACGGTTTAAAATACCAAGTACTGCTGGCCGCGACTGACATTGTTCAAATTCCCGTGGTGAATAGCTAGCTCTACAGCCCAAAGATCACTGGACCCATAACCACAGCCATGACGTTACTGCCGGCCTGGTAATGGCTTGGACGCTTGGGATATTTACCATGTGCCGTGTGGCGACCAGAGACGCTGATGTAACTTTGACCATGGTTGCAGCTCTCGTGACCACTGTGGTCAATACCCCAACAGCCCAAAGCTACTGACTTTTAGTGCCGCTCCCAAATGGTAACAGAGCTGCTTTGGTAGTTTCTCACTGTGGTTGTTACTGCGGCTACCAAATTGGCCACCAGAGTTGACTCTGGTTACTTCTCACCATGGTTGCCGCTCTGGTATCCACTGTGGTAAAAAAATAGTCCAACAGCCACCCACAAAAGCTAAGACTGCTTCTCTGATTCTTCCCTGCCCATACTTTGCTTAAACCCTCCGAGCTCTTTCTAGGAAGAGTAGCACTATCTGACAGGCCTGGTGACCAGGTCTGAGAGGGAAGAGCGGGTCATGGCAAGCAGGGTCCTTCGGCCTAACGGAAGAATGTGTACTTTCCATTGTAACATATTTATTGACTTGCCGGGGGATTAGGAACCGGACTGATGCTCCCCAGAATAGAAGGAGCCAGGACCATAAGGCCCTGTTTTCTGTTAAAAAAAAAACAAAAAAAAAAAAAACAAAAAAACAAAAACAAAAGCTAAGACTGCTACCATTTTCACTCGAATGGAATGCCCCGTCATTATAGCTGTATTTGAACTTTTCAGTCCAGATACAGTGATAATGACCTGGCATTCTATTCGGATGAAGAAGGCAGTGGAGCTACCAAAGTGGTTACCACAACTGCAGCGGTAATTTCTCACCGTGTATCAGCTCTTGCAGCAACTGTGGTAAACAGTCCAACAGCCCAAAAACCCGTGAGTGTCAGTTAAGCTACCAAAGTGGAAACCAAAGCGGCAGCCAGCCAGAGTGTGAATTTACCTCACACTGGTAACCAGGACTTCTGAGAGCTGGAAGCATTTGACTGTGAAGTTAACCACAGAATCAGACTGGTAGCCAGCACTTCACAGTCGAATGCTTTCAGTACCTGAGGTACTGGTGCACCAGTCTCTTCAAAGTAGTGGAGGTACTGATGAACCGGTCTGATTCTGTGGTAACTTCACAGTCAAACGCTTCCAGCTCTCAGAAGTGCTAGTAGTTACCAGTCCGTGGTAAAACTTAGTTACCAGTCCGTAGTAAAACTTCACACCGTGGCTGCAGCCCTTGTAACCACTTTCGTAGCTGTACTAACAGTCATGGGTTTGAGCTGTGTTGGACTGTTTACCACGGTGGTTACCAGAGGTGCAACCACGGTGAGAAGTTACCGCTGAAGCTCTGGTAACCACTTTGGTAGCTTCACTAACAGTCATAGCCTTGCGGGGACTGCTGTATTCTTTAACCNTTTAACCACGGTGAGAAGTTACCGCTGAAGCTCTGGTAACCACTTTGGTAGCTTCACTAACAGTCATAGCCTTGCGGGGACTGCTGTATTCTTTACTGCACCTGTCTGATTCGGTGGTAATTCCACACCCCTTACGGCCACGCTGATCGGTGGAGGTACTACCGTCTTCCCCCGAATAGAACGCCCGGTCATTATAACTGTATTTGGGCCACCTTTCAGACCAGATGCAGCTATAATGACTGGGCGATCTATTCGGGTGAAGACGGTAGTGGAACCAGCAGTCTCTTCAATTCAAATGCACCGGCCGCTCCCACTAATCAGCCCGGACTCAGAGGGACTACCCAAACGGCACCCCAGGGATTCATTGTTACCAGTTTGGTAAGCACAGCACTTCTCATAACTGAAAGCTTAGAATAGAAAAGTTAGAAAACCTCAACAAGAATCAAAACGGAAGGATGAACGACATCAGGGGCAACCAAAAAAATAAATAATAATAATAACAATAATAATAATAATAATAATAAAAAAATTAAAAAATCATTTTTTTTCAAAATGGAAACCTGTTTCGATCTTCAAACTCCTACATGCAGAGAACCAGCACATAACCCATCCAGTAGTAAATTGTGTGGAATGTTGTCTCCACACGAAGCCCTTCCCGCATGGTTCGACAGCACAGCACGCATCATTCTCAACAGGTTGTCCACATGCAGACATCCTTTTCCGAGAGGGACATTTTGGCACCATACAGCTGGTTAGAAAGTGAAGCACAAGACCAAAAGGAGGAGGAAAGCGTCGAAGCAAGCAAGGAAGGTGCTTCCAGGGACAAGGAGGAACATTTGCATCCTTCCATTACCTCTGCTGAAACTGCAATGGTGTCAAACCAGTGATCGCACCCAAGAGCCTTCAGGATAGGCCGCAACCGCGTATCAAAATTGGACACGACACCAATCTTCAGGCCACTTGCCTTCATCGCTTCGAAAGCTCTCACCGACTCCTCGTCAACGAGTTTCCATGCCTGCAAAAGATGGTCACAGATGCAACCAAAGAGGATTTAGAAATTTGATTTGCAGAAGAAACCAAGGTTCCACTGGTTGGTTCAGCAGAAAGCCATATAGATTGCATACTCAAAGATTCGGTCCAGCATATACATCTATATGGCTCTGATTCCGGGCCGCGGCAGATCGTAACTTGAAAAGATTCTACCTCCCTACTACCGTCATCACCCAAATAGAACGCCCGGTTATTATCGCTGCATCTGGACCGGAAGTTGTGCCAAATACAGCTGTGATGACCAGGCCCGGAATCAGAGCCATATAGTCTCTAGAGCGAAGATTATATCTACCCAGCTGACCATATACATCTACTGACTCTGGGCCAAGGCATATTATAACTTGGAAAAAGAAAGATTGGTATTTCCCGGGGGGGGGGGGGTCCGTCTGAAGCCTATCAAGGATTCAGCCACTTCATGAGACAATGAAAGTCTCACAAAACAGTCTGTCAGTGTCCCCCAACTTCCTCCCTTTCTGCTCTGTTCTCCAATTTCTTCCCTTTTCTCAGCTCTCATTCTTCCTTAGTATAGAATCTGTAGATCGTATACTGTTTGCCTTGCTGCAAAAATGCCCCACGGAGACACCCAAAGGGATAAAAAAAAAAAGAGGAAACATATGGGAGACAGGGATCCTCTGTGTGTGTTTGTGTGTGTCCATTGATCATAATGGAAACAGACATCTCCCACACTGCAATGGGAGACTACATGCAAACCCACAGAGACACCCAAAGGGATCAAAAAAGAAAAGACGAACCATATGGAAAACAGAGATCCTCTGTGTGTGTTTGTGTGTGTGCATCGATGTGCTGCTTGCACAGAAGAGAACATAAAGGAAACAGGCATCCCCTCCACGGCAAAGGGGGACTACGTATACCAAAGCACGACAAAGCGTGGTATAGCAAAGTACGACAAAGTGTGGTAATGAGAGACAGAGAACGGCACAGCGATACAAGTATAGCAGAGCAAAACATGGCAAAGTATGTCAAAGTCAGAAAACGACCGGCAAGGGCACCGGGCGAGGGGRGGGGGGGGGGGGGGGGGGGCACAAATCCAGAAAAAGTATATCAAAGCCGAAAAATTATAGCAAAGCAGGACGGAGTACACAATAGCAGGGTCCTTCGGGACATCCGTTAAAATCCGAACAATACAGAGAAGATTAGCATGGCCCCTTCGCAACGATAACATGCATACATCGAGAAATGGTCCAAATTTTCAAGTCATCACACGAGCCTCAACAACCTTGGCCTTCAAAAACTACGACAAAGCAGGACAGAGTACGGCACAGCAAAACAAACTTCCCACAACAAGACTCTACACACAAAGTTTGCAAAACACAACTCTTATGACTCTACAGAAAGTTTGCAAAACGAGACTAGTATAAGAAAGCAAAACAAAGCATGACAGAGAAAAGCAATGTGAGTCATCGACAAAGTTTGCAAGACAATAAGTACTACAGAGTAAACAAAGTATGACGGAGCAAGGAAGGCAACACGAGTCATCGGAGCAAGGAAGGCAACACGAGTCATCGAGCTGAGAGAGAGAGAGAGAGAGAGAGAGAGAGAGAGAGAGAGGACCGTTGCGCACCTCTGCTGTGGCATAGTAAGTGTACAGCTCCTCAAAATAGTTGGGATCGTAACAGCCAGTAGAAAATCCGACGACCTGTCTCCAGAAGTGCCGACCATCATCCTCGTATCTGCACCGCAGGTTCAAGAACCAGCCGTTGCCACCCAATTTAACGAGAGTGCCCAAGCTATATGACGACATACTACATTCATTACTACTTTCCAAACTGGTCAAAGTTGCTGGCCCTTTCTTAATCCAGAAGACCCCTGAACAGAACGCGGATTGCCTACCACTCAACAGCAAAACTTTGCATCCCCATTCAGGGAAAAAAATAGAAAAAAAGAAGGAAAAAAAATTGCATGTGATCATTGTGATGTCATTGGGAACAAAGGGCCATGACTCAAAGGTGCTGTGTTTGCACTGCAAAGCACAAGACTAGATAGTTTTTCTAAATTTTCTTAGGTCCAGCGACTCCAGGCTCATGATATTGCTTTCTGTCGAAAGACTCGAAAGAGTAGGAACATGATAGTTTATGCTGGACGAGACTCGTAGTTTTTTTGGCGGCACAGTCAGGGGGCCTGCCAAGGGTGGCAGCCCAAGGGAGGAGACGCAGAATTTTAGATTTACATAAATTAATTTGTTTCATGATGGTTGCATTCTCCGTCTCGATCCAATTTTAACCGATATCGAGAAAAGGTTAACCGACCCCCCATTTTTCACCTCAATTTATAAGAAAACAATAAGGCCATCCCAAGCAAACTTCACACCAATCTATAGAGTGCACTTCTTACTAACATATTATAAAAAAAAAAAAAAAAAAAAAAAAAAAAACACATAAAACAGCAACTCAAAAGTGCATTTTCAGGCAATTTTGCCAAAAAACAACTTCATCAAAATTTCAGGATTTTCAGGATGATTAACAGCACAAATTCTAATAACCCAAATGACACCAAATTTGACACACAGCAAGCTTGTCCTAAAACAAAAACAGGCAAAAAGAAAAATTCCAAAAAAACACAAAATTTGAGCCCGAAACCCTAATTTCAGGATCATTCATCGTTACCCAGGGCCGAAAAGTGGGGGTCCCCGTTAACCACTTGTGTGGCAGGCTGAGAATTCTCGAGTTTCCCACCTTGTGGCAATTTCTCACTCTCATCTCCTTCAGCAAAAGAAAAAAGTATCCGAAACCGCTCAATCGATACAAGTCACAAGCCGTACAATGGCGAGCATTGAAAAATTTTAAGGGGGGAAAAAAAAAACACAGAACTCTTGCCCAAAACGTTTTGGTCCTAATGCAATGCATGCATATGTCAGCTACTGCCTGAACCAACCCCCACAACAGGCTCAATATAGCATGAGGCACACAAAATGAAAATCAACCATCGCGTGAAAATGATGCACTTGGGAGGAACTGGTAGTTTAAACCGCCAGTACACGGCCCCAGCCTTTAAGAAAATCACGATTTGCCAACTCCATAAATTTTCGCAGCTCAGGCCGCTCAGGCTGCTCAGGCCTGCCGGACCACAATGGCTGGCAACGCCAACAAAACAGGGAAAACAAAAAGTGTGCCGCTGGCGGTCCATAAAAGCTTAATGAAGCAGCGCCTCCAGGCCCGAGTGTACTGCTGGTTTAAAACCACCAGCACTTCCGAGGCTATTTTCTACAGGGCTGGACGCACGCTGCATGCCAAGAAACAAACAAAAACCAGCACGGGCCTTCATTTTGGCTGGTGCCGCCAGCCATTTTTCTCCAGCAGCCGAACCCCAAAATCTGCAACAGTATGCAAGCCGCAACTTGAAAAAAATGGCTGGGAAACATACTGGTGGCTGAAGGAAATAGCCCTAGTGTTAGGATGTGCTCTTAAGGGTTAAAATTTATCTCTAACCCCAACTACCCAACAACAGAATCTCGTCCCGAAAAGAGATTCAGCTTCGCAGCTGGCTGCCAATCCGGCCAATAAAACTTTTTCACTTCTCTGCGGAAGTAAAATCGTGAGCAGCAAGTGTAGCCACACATCCAACTGCCCAAGCCTGTCGTTTTTTCTTTTTCACTCGCCATCCATTCGCTACGGATTCTGGTGGATTGCGAGTAGTGCAACATGGCCCTCACACTCCTCCCCCCTCGACCCCAACAGTAACACAGTTTCAATTTTTATTTTTATTTTTTTCAGTGTCTTTTTGAATTGCCTGCTGATCACGTGACTACATCACCAGACACAAACAAGTCCATATACATTGGCTCTTGCTTATCAGACAGTTCCAAACCAGTCCAAATACATCCATTCACCCGCAGAGGACCCACAACTTAAAAATAGAAAGGTGCAGTGTCAGTGCGCCCCCAACATCCATCCACCTTTGGAGGACCAAAGATTGTGCTGCAACCATGCCTTCAATTTTTTTTCTTCTTTTCAGGGGTGGGGTGTGTGTATATCTGTGTGTGTGGTTGTGGTGGGGTGGGGGGAGGGGGAGGGGCAGGAGGGGGATGGGATTTGGCCCAAGTGGAAGAAAGGGGGGGGAGGGGGGAGGATGGATTTGGCCCACGTGGAGGGGGGAGGTGGAAGAAACAGGCCTATCTTTTATGTCAGAGAACAGAACTAGCCCACAAACAACCCAATCTTAAATGTTTTATAGGACAGAACTACAGTCTTCCCCCAATCATAGCGCACCCGGATAATGAATGTATACAAGCTATATGTCCTGTCAGATACAGCAAAAATGAGGGTGCGTAGTGTTCGAGGGAAGATGGTAGCCGACAAAGAGCCCCATCTTACATATTTTATAGGATTGGAACTAATCCAGTCAGAGTGCACCTGCAGCTCTGGACACCCAGGTGCATTCCGGCTGAGCTGCCATACTTTCTGCTGTCGAAAGGCCCGATAAGTGAGCCATTTACAAAACCGTTCTTGCTTCCCCTTTTCTTCCTGATAGGGAAAAAAGACGGCAATGGTTGAAACACATAAATTTCCCCGACAGCGAAAGAAAGGACAGCGAAATAGAAATGAAATATGTCAAGCAGATTCAATCAAAATCTAGTTCCCGCCCAATGTTAACCGCAATGGGCAAGGTCTTCCTCACAGAATTCACTCCCCTGCATGTGCCTGGGCACAATTATGAACCACAAATCTATAGACCAAACGTATAGCACTAATTATAGCGTAATGCCGCGTGGCATGCCCGCAAAACCTAAGGAATGCATAGGAAATAACTTTGGTCCAGAAAGTCATTAGCGAGCACGCTCTAATGGCCAACTCGACTTATTCTATTTATCCAACCACGCGGTCGTACATTTGTAATCTTTTCAACGTATCTGGACACAATTAAGGCCCAATTCGGTCAATGAAATCCTTGATGCATGCGGTACTTTTGCTCTCAGGCATACAAAGTGAAATCAGTTCCTATTCGTAAGAAGATGACAAGAAAGTTGGATGATTTCTTAAACCCATACCTTAGACTTCTCTGGCCCCAGGGCTGCGCGTACGCCCAACGATATCGATGAAGGATGTCTGCCTCTGGCATGGTTACACCATATTTCCTGCCAATTTCCAAGTAAACCTGATACAATACAATGATAGAGAGGTTGGATATATATATTTATTCCCAACAGACACAGGGTACCCCAATCACGCGCCCCCAACAACCATGGCACCACTTGTCCCACCACAACCAAATAGGAAAGCACCGTACAGATTCAGACCAGTTCCCCCACCAGCCAATAGAAAAAAAGATAGTCCCATGCACAGCACTCAAAATAAAAACAAAACAAGAACGAAACAGACAAACAAGTTGGAAAAACAAACGGAAAACAAACAAGGGAAGCAAACACACAAGCCAACAAAGCGGAGCAAATTAGAAGTCTTTAATAGCTACTATTGTATTTGAAAGTCGTTAACAAAAAAGTGAATAACCATCAACATACAAGCCTGATCAGCTCTGACAAAACTGAAGGAAGGAATAGACCAAGAAAAAGACAAATGAAAACACACCCGTCAAGATAGACCTTTGGTCTTGCGCAGATAATCTGGATGGAGAGAGAGAGAGAGAGAGAGAGAGAGAGAGAGAGAGAGAGATCACTGAACTCAATAAATGCATATACAGCCAGAAAGACCACAAGTGTGCACACCAGGGGGGCGGAGGGGTGTGTGCGTGCGTGTGTAAGTGGGTGTCTGTCTTACGTATGCATGTCATCAGCTAGGCAATAGGATTAATGAAGCTGATGACTTATCAGAAGCCAGCCATGCTCACTCTACATAGGACTTTCCAGGATGCATTTATAGCTGCACTTAAGGACAGAACCCATCCAAATGTTACAGTGCGGGTACGCCCCATGCCCCTAGTCAAGGGTCAAGCGGGGTCAGCAAACAAGAGAGCCTTGGTGAGCACTGTTTACGGCTCCCGAGTCGAGGCACACCAAAAAGCCGCAGACCACACACGCCAAACGAAAAGAGAACGAGTACGACCAGAGAGAGGCAGGTATCCACCTGAGACATCAGAACACAGCCTCACCTCTTGTAACGGCCAAGGTCATTTACAGAAAAGGCACACAGACCAAGCAGAACGCTAATCAAGCCAAGGTCCCTCGATGGGTTTTTTTTCACACCCAGGTCGTTTGGTGCTGTTTTTTTTTTTGAACTTTTTCTTTTCTTCCCTTTGCTCTTCTTCTTCTTCTTCGCCTTCTGTCATTTTTGTTACATATCCCTGGAATACACATTCCATCCTTATGCAGGGGCCATGCTGTTCTTCTCTATACCACTGCAAATCTTTTGATGGTTGCAGTGTCCCGAGGGACCATTGATGGGCGACCGCCTTGAGATACCATCTTTTCCTGTTTTCCCCCTTACTCAAGACCATCTCTCATTTCTGTGTGTCATCCTTGTGCAGGGGCCATGCTAATCTTCTTTCTCTGTATCATTCCAATTTTGACGGATGTGCTGAAAAGGACCAATACCATCTCTGAACTGATCGAGGCGAGGTACATCGAGAGTTCTATTTTACTCCAGCTAACGTTGGAATTCGAACTCTGGTCTGTATTTCACCAGTTTGTAGGTGTACCGACGGAGCTAGGCCAGCTCGCGTGATCAATTGTGATGTGTGCGTGCGTGTCATCGTATTCGCTATACGCAACAATGCCACAAAGCAAAGCATGATGTGCGTGTGTGTATGTGTGTGTTTTTTTTCCTAAAAAAAAGGGATAATTTGCAAAATATCAGATATATGCCAACATGCCCCTGAAAGATAAGGGTAGAGCGGAATGCCCTTTTGGGCCGAAATCTGTGTTACGTCCCTGTCAGGCGGGTGTCCGAATTTGCAACCTGGACCTCGCCGTTTGGGCATGGCCTTTTGCAACTGGGCCTCCCGAAAATTGCAAAGTTCTGGGTAACTTTTAAAAATTGGATGGTACCCGGTAGGGGTATATCACAAAGATGGGGGGTCCAACCAACACGAGGGGTATTTCACAAATTTCTCTTTTTGTCAAGGGGCCTTCCACTCTACCCGCATCTTTCAGGGGGCGAGGGGTATTTCACAAATTTCTCTTTTTGTCAAGGGGCCTTCCGCTCTACCCACATCTTTCAGGGGCATTTTGGCACATATCTTTGTAAATTTTCCCTAACAAAAATAAATAAATAAATGAAAATTTAAACTCAGGTCAGTATTTCAACAGTTTGCCAAACAAAATTGTACATGTGTGACAGCATTGTTTGTGTTTTTTAATGGTTGTTAACTTTTAAGTGGTTTTAAAATGAATCAAACAAATTCCGAAGGTTCATTCGGACGAGTCAAAAAATATGCTTTCAGGAGGCCCATTCGGACGAGCCAAAAAATAAAACATGCTTTCAGGAGATTCATTCGAAAGAGTCGAAAAATATGAATCGAGGAAGAGTCCAAATGCATTATCCTCAAGTTGCCAGGCCCTACATCCCGACTGCAATAAAACCGCCATGTCTGACGGAACGATAGTAACTGCCCGCAATTTTATTTTTTTTGGTAGTACAGCAAGGCGTAAACAGCAACACGCGAAGTCTCAAAAACGCCTTGTTCGGCTTTTTTCTTTTAAATAATAATAATTTGGACCATTTCTCGATTTGTGTGTCATCCTTGTGCAAGGGCCATGCTACTCTTCTCTGTATCGTTCCAATATCGTTCCAATTTTAACGGATGTTCCCTAATGCCAACGGCCTTGAGATATGATCATCAAACTGACAGGCCCTAGGTAATTCTTTTTTCTTTTTTTTTTTAATTCAAGGCAGCAGTATCTTAGTCATTTAAATGCAGTGGAGTTCTAATTCGGGTCTGTATTTCGCCAGTTTAGGCCCTAGGGATTTCATTTTTTATTTTTATTTTTCAATTCAAGGTAGTAGTATCTTAGTCATTTGAATGCAGCGGAGTTCGAACTCGGGTCTGTATTTCACCAGTTTAGGGTTGTACCAAACTGCGCTCGGCGGCCGGGTGGGTAGCAGCGACCAAACCAGAAACGTCATCCGGACAAAAACCTGCCTGGTTTATCAAAATACTCTTCCCCTCAAAAACCATAAAGCTCTGAAAAGAGTATTTTACTATTTTGGTAAAGCAATAATTGACTTCAAATGCAAATTATGCAAGTCCCTTTTTAATCAGTGCTTAAAGGTTTAATTTCGAAAGTTTTCGGATTTAGTACGGGTCGCTGGACCCGGGGTTTCCAGCAGTTTAGCATTGATAGATCTTGAGCAGTTGGTGGGTCTTCGAGCTTGGCTCGTAAGCGAAACTGGCTGAGGCTGCCAGGATAACTCCGGGTCCATTGAATTTGCAATATATTTTAAGGCTTTCCAAAAAAAAAAAAAAAAACTGCTGCTTGCATCTCTCCCGCTTCGTTCTGTCCTCGCCTTTTTGTTGTGTGTCGTCAAGTTTTTTCTTCTTATGCCCCCGCTTTGACCACGACCCTATGCCTTGAGCGGTTCCGATTCTGGGGGGCGTCATCAGTCATGCGTGGAGCGTCGTTTTTTCCGACTTTTTTTTTCCCCAAGAATAGGCGTCCTCAGCCACGCGTGGAGCATCTTTTTTCTCCGACATTTTTTTTTTGTCCCCCTCCCTTGGGCCACGGGTGACAGCCTTAGACATCATTGAACTGATCGGCCCAAGGTAATTCAGAAAGATTTTCTGCTGGTCGTCATCTGATTGTATCTGGATTCCAACTTGGGCCTGTGCGTCTCGCTGCTGCACTAATCACCACTATTCACCAAATGTGCAAAATGATAAATGACGCTTCCGCTAGACAATGGAATGTTGTTCTACTACCCCCTTTTTTCTTACCTTTTGGGAGAACCTTAAGAAAGGGACACTGGACCCGATTTCCATTTAGGGTCTGATCCCACCACTACACTACAGCCCAGTTACACTGTAGTTTTAGGATCCCACAGCGTGTTACACTGTAGTTTCGGGATCCCACCACTACACTACGGTTGTGGAGTGCGCCGAAATATTTTGCACGCATTTCGTGTCTGGAATGTCGTGGCAGCACGCCCGCGAAGGGCTCGAGCAAAGTTACTACATTTTTTGTGTGGACGGTTTGGGCACAACGGCCACGAAAAAGAGGGAACATTTTTTTTGTGTTTTTTTTTTTTCAGTTGTCCGTCCAGCCCGTTAGGAACGTCCGAGGTCCACATGCGTGTGTGACATGTTGTCTGGCGGTACAACGGAAATGTCCGCCCTAGAAATGCAGCCCATGGAAAGTCGCCGCGGGTCCAGGAAAACCACCGAGGAAGTCGGTGTCGTCGGATCCGCTTTCTGTAGCCGGGCCCGTAGCTGACGCTGACACTATTGTAGTACTTTTTCGTCACTAATCGCGTAGTGTAGTGGTGGGATCAGACCCTTAGATTAGACGGGCAATGGCCCGAGCATGTTTATACCGGGGGTTGATTGAGGGGTGTATTCCGGGGCCCCAGTGTTTTCCTTTGGAACAAATGGTGATTGTTCTTCAAAAAAAAGAGAAAAAAAAAAAGGAAAGATACACCGCCATATATTGTCTTTTGCCCGTGTGGCGAGTAGTGGACCGACGCCCTGTATGTATTGCAACAACAGTGCGCGTGTGTACCAACTGAGGGCGTACTCACACTAGCACTATCTAAAATGTATCTCAACGCATTTCCGGCCAACCGTGTATGCATCTGGCCGCAATTCCGTCCAGAAATAAGTAAGAACGTGCTAGGCCGTCGCCCTTTATACACTCACCGATCAGAACAGAAACTACACTTGCGGCGAGTGAAATACATTGGAACTACATTGGAAGCAAACGCGTGAAATACTACAATCCAGAAATACCTACCTTTCAAAAAAAAAAAAATAATAATAATAATAATAAAATAATATTCGACTGAAGGTAGGGCCTTGCTCCGCGACTCACCAAATGATGCGTGCGCAATATGGCCGTCGCTCCACTACTCTCGACATGCACAAAGGACAAAAAAAAAGAAAAAATCGCTCCACTGCTCACTAGATGTGCAAAATGAGAATGAACCTTCCGCTAAAAGGTGGAAAGATACAATGGATGGCCATGCTTTCGTCTTTTGTGCATGTGGTGAGTAGCGGAGCGAGGCCCAAAGAAACGAGTCTTTGCAATCGCGACGCCGACCACGTGAAAATGATTAAAAAAAAAAAAAGAAAAAGAAACAGCAATTGAAGAACTCAGCTCGTGAAGCGGTTCGGTTGTACTCATATAAGGTTCCATCGTCTGGATTCGAACTTGGGTCTGTATTTCAACAGTCCATGTGTGTACCGGAGGACGTACTCACACTGGCAGTATCCCAAATGTATCTGACCGCATTTACGGCCATACCTGGATGAATCAGGCCACAATTCCGTCCAGAGATACGTAAAAAGGTCGTAGTGTGAGTATGCCCTAAATTTGTTCAACTTTACACATGAGAAAAGAAGGAAAGAAAGATGGAGAGGAGGCGCCAAGGGCATACTCACACTAGGACTTCCACTTGTTTATGGACGTAATCGCGGTCAGATGCATCCACGTCCGGCCAGAAATGCGGTCAGATATATTTTTAAGATAAACCTACCGGTAGTACGAGTACGCCCTAAGTTCTCTTTGGAAAGCTGAGGCACGAACATCCTCGTTTTTTCTTTTTTATTAGATTTTGCATTTATATTATTATATATATTCGTTTGTAATGTTCCTCAGGGCGTACTCACAGTAACTATATCAAAGCATTTATGACCGCATTTGAATGCGGTCATAAATCTGGCCACTAAGATTTGCGCACCAAAAACTGAAAATTGTGAAAACCTCAGGGCGTACTCACAGTAGCTATATCTGATCGCATTTATGACCGCATTTGAATGCATCTGACCGCAATTACGTCCATACACAACAATAAAATAAGTCCCTAGTATATGCCTTCATTGTAGCTATATGGATTGACTCTCTCCTCCCAATGAATTTTTATTATTACCAACGGGTACACTACTCAAGACTATACATCAATCCAGGTATATCTAACATGTCCGATTTTAACGACATAACCAGAGGCCGACAGAATTCCAACTCTCACCTTCGGCCCGATCCCCGCCCTGTAGAAAAGAGAGACGGCCTCGCTCCGCATTCAGCTCGGGGAGTCGAAATCCAGATTCGCTTGGGTTGGCTACCGTCCTCACCCGAATAGAACGCCCGGTCATTATCGCTGCTACATCCGGCCTTAAAGTTGGCCCAAACACAGCTGTAATGACCGGGCGTTCTATTCGGGTGAAGACGGTAGTCCAGGTTCATGTTCGTGGACCACAGATGCAGGTTTGGGAAGTCAAAATGCAGATTCAAAGCTTCTTAGATAATCCTATCCCAAATCCGAAATCCAAAATACTGTGTTCAAGAACACAGTATTTTGGATTTTGGATTTGGGATTTTGTCGTTCCTTCTCGGCCTTTTGGCCAAGGAAGATCAAGTGTAATTTCTGTTCTGATCAGTAGTTCAATATCTGATCCGTGTCCATCGGACCACACACAAGATATTAAATTATTTTTTTCTGGGCCACGGAGGAGTCATACGGGTAAGCTTGCTTACTCGACCCCTCTTCTTCCACTGCGGCCAGGCCGCAGTATTGCACTGCTGCAGAGGGGGGCGCAGCCCTATTATATTAAAAAAAAAACAAAAAAAAAAACATGCAGATTCGTAGGTCGAGAGATTCAGGTCGGCGAGTTCAGGCTCAGGAGGTTCGGAAATTCAGGTTGTCGTCATCGTATATTACCTTCGTCATCGACTCTGTAGGTATGATTAATGTCCCGGCAGCATCAACGAGCAAAGCACGTGGATAAGCCCCTCCGTAAAAGGGAGACAAGCATCTCCGACTAAGTTCAGATTCCTCCTCCTCTGCTCCTGATGACTCATCAGACGAGTAATATCCGCTGACGTCATCATCAACCAACGGCTCCGCTGCTGCGCTCTTCGGCACATTCACGTTGTGAACTGATCTCCTCACCTCCTTCCTATTTGTGTTGTCGACAACAGCTATGGAACCCGACGGTTGTTGCCGCTGCTGACGCGGCGGAAGCAGAAAATCCGTCGCGGCTTGTCCGTCCTTGCTCACGTCGCCACGTGGCAAGATCGCAGCAGCAGCCGCAGCCACATGCGTGGTCCGTACAGCGGTACCGAAGATGGGACCCGACGGATGATACCCATGATGATGGAGACTAAAAACGTCGATGCCTTCTTGTCTCGCCATCGCCGTCGAAGGAGAGGGAGAAGAAGAGGGCGAAGGAGAAGAAGGCGAGGAATAGGGAGAGCTGACGTGTCGATCGGAGATGCAACCTTCCATAGCCGTAGAGTTCGACGGGACGGCGACCGACATCGTGGCAGCTTCCGACGAACCAAGACGACGGCAGCCAGCGGATATTACACCGGAGGTTTGCCGTGTACTCTGACACAAACGGCGGAACAGGATTGTTGCCGCCATTCTCACTTCACTACAATCCACCAGTAGCCCTTCTGTCGTACACAGAGGAAAGAAGAGATCCACTGATAGACAATAGCTGGATACACACACAAAAAAAAAGTCAAAATACGGCCTCGATGGAGTGCAAGAGTATACAGCCTCTCACAACCTCTCTCTCTCTCTCTCTCTCTCTCTCTCTCTATAGTATCTATCTATCTATCTATCTATCTCCGTATGTGTATTACTGCAGTACAAGAACAAGACAGACAGGTAGGTCACCGTAAGTGCTCTTCCTGTAAGTGGAGTAGTTGCTTTCGCTGATCGACGAGTGTATATCAGCGATCAGCAATCTTCTGGGGGAAAAAAAGCTTTTCAAATAATTCAAGAACAGACTTGGCAAAGAAATCAGTTCGGTTCTAGAGCCGAACTTTTCGCTGCCCTGCCGTCTTCTTGTCTTTTTTTCTTCCGTATTTCTATCGCCATAGCCTTTCTTCCTCTACTCCACTCTCCTTGGTTCTTTCAAGATATAACTTAGGGCGCCCTTTTCTCTCTCTATCTGTGTTCTTTTTCAAGACAGCTTAGCCACCTCTCTCTCCCAGTCTCTGTCTCCGTCTCTGTCTTTATCTTCGTCCGTGAGTCGTCGATGCCCCCCCCCCCCCCCCCCCCCCCCCCCCCCTGGACCTGCATCCACCAATTCAATAAGCAGACAAAACATCGACCAGATGAGCAATCAGTCTGCTTTCAGCACCCCCCCCAACCGAAAAGGAATATGATCAATCAGATACTGCTTTCAGCACCGCCAGAGAAAGGGAACAAGACACGAAATAGCGGTTCGTTTCTTTTTCAATCCGATCAGACTCTGCTTCAACGTGCGCGATCCCCTATTTCTATTTTTTGTTAATCAAGTGGTTGTGGTTCGTTTCTTTTTTCAATCCGATCAATAATCATCAAAGTATAAAAGTCCCGTCGTCAACCTCACTTTCCAGATTAGGTAAGTCACTTTGTCCTTCGTGATTTTGTTGACAGGCCAGAAAGATTCTGATTTCTTCTGAGGCCAGAAACATTACAATTTTTCTTCTGGGGGCAGAACGAGAGGACAAGAGACAAAAAGGCAGAAACAAATGCAATTTTTTTCTGGGGGCAGAAACAAGAGGACAAGAGACAAAAAGGCAGAAACAGATGCAATTTTTTTCTGGGGGCAGAAACAATAGGACAAAAGACAAAAAGGCAGAAGTAAAGAATACATGAGAGACCAGATGACTAATGACTACTAAACTTCCATTTGTGAGCCAGAAACAAGAGGACAAGAAACGAGATTACTCCCGCCGTACCACCTGAGATCGTCTTTTTGCAAAAGAGACAGATAGTGCGGAATAAAAGGCGTGAAAGCGCATACAAAGAACAACGTGCATTTTTATTTATTTTTTGTCTCCCTTCAATTTTTCTTCCTCCTTAACTCGTTTTCACGTTTAATTCTTTATCTTTATGGGGTGTAAAACAAACCACTCACTGAACCGACCGGCGTCAAAAGGGAGAGAAGGACAGATCAGCGCGCTGTCCTTCGATCGTTTATCGCACTTTAGACTGATCGCTCAACCGTCAACAGAGAGCGTCCCCTGCTGATGCTGCAATCCATCCTCTACCTTAGATCAAAACTCAACGCCGAACTACGTACGTAGTCTCTTCCACCTATCACGCCGATTGCAAGATTTGGCAGACTGCCAATCGGTTCACTAACGGTTGAGGCTGGTGTGAACCGAATACAGCTGGTGACTACCGCGGTATCTAGACTGAGGCTGGTGTCAACCCACTGGCAGTCTGCCAGCGGTTGAGGCTGGTGTGAACCGATTGCAAGATTTGGCATCGCGCTGTGCTTCGATCGATCGTTTGTCGCACTTTAAACTGATCGCTCAACCGTCAACAGACCGTCCCCTGTGCTGATGCTGATGCTGCAATCCATCCTCTGCCGTAGATCAAAATCAACGCCGAACTACGTACGTAGTCTCTTCCACCTATCACACCGATTGCAAGATTTGGCAGACTGCCAGTCGGTTCACACAAGCCTGAACCGATTGCAAGATTTGGCAGACCGCCAGTCTTCACCAGCCTCAACCGACCAAATACAGCGGTGATTATCTCAAGTATATTGACAGTACTAAAGTCTATTACTCTAGTATATTACTCTAGTATAAGGAGGATTACATGGAGGATTAGCTTCTTGACCAGAATAGAACGCTGGTGACTACCGCTGTATCTAGACTGAGTTGCCCCAAATACAGCTGAGCAGCGAGCACAGAGATGGAGGATAAACAGACGACAAGAGCTCAAGAGCAAAAGACAGCAGCAGAGGACAACAGGGGCTTGTATAGAGTTAATATACATATGTACATACGTATACTAGTATATACAACTAGACGACCGTGCTTATCACTGATCGGGCAGTTAACCATACTTACACTAATCAGATTTGTCTAAACTGATCAGTTGTAGGCTATCTTAACCATGTAGTCTACCCTTGATCTGGTAGTCTACCCTTGATCAACGGAAAGGATCAAACATATGACCATATCGACCGCGCCTTATATTTCATCATTTTGATACTGATCCGGCTAGCCTACACTACTAGACGTACGGTCATTATTATAGCTGTATTAAGACAAACATACCCCAAATACATACAGCTATAATGACCTCGCGTTGTACCCTTGATCGAGAAGAGATCAAACATATGACCATATTGACCGCGCCTTGATGCTGATCAGGTTAGCCTACACTAAAATAACGTACGGTCATTATAGCTGTATTTAGACTGAAAGACACCTCAAATACAGCTATAATGACCGTGCGTTCTATTCGGCGGAAGAAGGTAATGCACATTTTCCCAAAACGAAAGAATACAAATGAACCTTCCAGATCGTCTTGATGCTTTGACAACACAGAAGCCGAGGAGAGAGAGAGAGAAAACGAGAAGCAATGACAGCAATCTGATTGAGGATATATACAGTAATCTGTACGCACCGTTAGCCAGGCAGTTCTGCCCACGGTTCGCCGGGCAGAGCTCTGTTTGACGACTACATGATGGAATCGCCCCTCTGCCCACGGTTAGCCGGGCAGCGCTGTTTGGTAGTATATACAGTAATACTGTTTATACAAATCGTCAAACAGAGGTGCCCAGTAAACCGTAGGCAGAGAGGGAGAAGAGAAAAGGACAACAAACGAGGGGCTGTGACAAACTGTTTCGTCGGAGGCTGAACCCTCAACAGTCTGCAGAATCCCCTAACTGATTACACTGTAAGTGATAATCCATCTTAACCGTGGCTGTGGTTACGCATCAACTACTGCCCGACAACTCATGATACCCCTCCGAGGAGGTGGTGGGGACCACCAACCACTGCTCTCAAGGTACCTGTGACGAAAATCAAAGCAGACTATCACTCACCCACACCAGATGGAAAGCTCTACAGACTGTCGGTTCACACCCCATCACAAGCCAGCAAAACACCCACCCACCCATGAAACAAAGAAAGGCCTGTCACAGCCCAAAAATACAATCCAGACACGCCGCTGGCACACTACCTTCTTCACTCGGATACAACGTACGATCATTATAGCTGTATTTGGGGTATCTTTCCGTCTAAATGCAGCAATAATGACCGTGCGTTGTCTCCGGGTGAAGAAGGTAGAGGCAAAGCATGGCCGCGTAGTGACGGCCCCGACCATTGCCACCGCCGCTCGACCTGACCGGAGAAAACCGTGGCAGGGTCCTAGCGAAGCGAAGTCGTGGTATATATCGTGAAGTATAATACTGTATATATCACGTTTGTGTAGATAGATACATCATCAAACAGAGCTGCCCGGTAAACCGTAGGCAGAGCGGGAAAAGAAAACAACAAACGAGGGGCTATGACAGACTGTTTCGTTTGGAGTTAAAGGGAGTTTGACCAACTCGTCAGGAAGCTGTGCATCACATAGAGGCCCTCGCTCCATCACTCTCAAAATGTGCAAAACAAGAGTGAATATTCCAGCAGAACAAGAAAGATACATCGCCATTATCTTCTGTGGATTTCCGGAGTAGTGGAGCGACGCCCGTATTGTCACACACTGTGAATCAGAGCGCAAAGGCGGAAAGAGAAAAACATCAAAAAAAATAATAATTAAGGAGAAATAATTAAGGAAGGAAAGCTCCGCTTGTCTGTGTATGTATGATAGGCTTCGCTCCACAACTCCCCAATTGAATAAAAAAAAAATGGCCTGTGTACCTTTTTCCAGTTTCATCAGCTTCTACCTACAAACATATACATTATACACTTCCCGATTCTCACGCTTCGGCGAGTAGGGAAGCTACCGACAGGTCCGAGTTTAACGACACCAGAATTTTGCATGGCAACGAGAAAAGATTCGACTGGACCTTCCATATCATCATCCTGGTCATGAAAACTGTTGACGTCACCACAACAAGCGCGCGCCCGATCGTCATAACGGCAGGAACGATGACGGGTTACCCTAGGCAGATACATGCGAAGTAAATGACAAGGAGAGCGGAGAGGAGTGCATCAAGAAAATCATTAGCTGCCGCCGCGATGCATGAGCGAGTCATTACTAGATATAATATAATACAGTAATAATAAACGTAACCCGTCGGGTTCGGGGTCGGGATCGGGGTCGGGGTCTGCGTTGGGGATCATCAGCTATAATCTGCTGCTAACGGGCTGATGACTGATTGGCACCACTACAACATTCAGATCATCAGCCTGACGATTTACAAATTACTCTATCCCGGGCGAGTAGTATGGCTCTTCTTTGCACAAAAACTTGAAATGAAATTGATAGGTCCGGACTCGAACCATGTCTCTGCCAATATAAATCAGGCACATATGGCGTAAGACAATTTCTAGGATCGAGCTCGATGATTACCAACCAACGCAAAAAAGAATACTTGTCGTGATAGACTGGAATCCGATAGATTGACGAGAAGCACGCAGACGAACAAACAGAAGGAGAAATCGGTCAAGGATGACTCACCAAGGGCCACAGACGCAATTAAAGAAAAAAAAATAACAAAAAAAACGCAAAAAAAAAAAGTAAAAGAAGTAATCAGAAAGGAAGAACTCACTGTGAGAAACGACGACATTGACGAGTGAAAAAACAAAAAAAAAAAATACCGCAATACACAGACTTAAACGAAAGCGGCACAAAAGAAGCAGAGTTGACAAGATGCACAAACGCATAACAATATTATAGCTAATAGTATTATCGTACTGGTAATAGTATTACAGCTCATAGTGTTAGCTAATAGTGTTATCGTACTGGTAATAGTATTATAGCTAAGAGTATTATAGCTAAGAGTACTATAGCTACCAAAATTTGTCTAAAACGTTCTACCAAACACTAATCCGCCTCCTATAGATCGAGACTTCACCATTAACCCTCACCCAAAGTGATGGATATTCCAATATCGATAGGTTGCAATAGTGATATTAGCACTTCTCCGCTTCTTGCCAGTAAACAGTGGTAATAATGACAGATGGGGTTCGTTCCTCAATTTAACAATAAAACTGCTAATCAGTTCGACAAAAGTAATCAGCTGTCCTCCTCTTCTTTCTTTCGACAAAGAAAAACACTGCTAGTAATAATATAATCTCAGAACTACTGACATTAAAATACATGTCCTTCTCTCCTTGCTCGCATGGAAACGTCCAGCACAATCCATGTCGATACGAAAGCGAGATACGCGACAATAGCTGTATTTTTTTCACTCCTTCGAGCAATTTAACTTCGACAATCCTGGCCGCAATTTCAACGTTATTGAACCGAAATAGTCAAGATCCTACTGGCGGAAGCCTACTGGCGGGAAATAGTCAGATCCTGCTGGCGGTAGGCCTACTGGCGGGAAATAGTCAGATTATATGGCGGGAGCCCAGTAAGCCTCGACTATTTCGGTTCCATAAACCATGAAATTGCGACAACGAACGTCGAAAGGGTATTACTAATATAATACAAATGGCATCTTCTCCATCTTGATCTCCATATGTTGAAAGCTAGAGCAGTCCTTCACGACAAGACAGCAAATACGCATGTTTGTTATTAATCAATAATAACACTGTCACGTCGTATATGCATGTACGCATGACTCTACACCATGCATGAACTACGTGACACTGATACCGACATTACACACATACCGATTGCCGTATTGATACTCCTACCCAGTCGATCCCGCACGAAATTGACACACAAAGACGCACACACACAGAGAGAGAGAGAGAGAGAGAGAGAGAAAGAGAGAGAGAGAAGAGAGAGACAGAGACAGAGAGACAGAGAGACAGAGAGACAGACAGAGAGACAGAGACAGAACAGACAGAGAGAGAGAGAGAGACAGAGGGATAGAGACAGACAGAGACAGAACAGACACAGAGAGAGAGAGAGAGAGAGAGAGGACAGTGCCAGCGCCCATACCTAAGCTGTTGATCTCGAGTTGACGACGACGAAGCTTTTGGCTTTGGACCTTTGAAGAAATCAATCGTCGTGCAATGCTGCTCAGCTATGACGGACTAACAGTCCGGCTGCCCTTGTCGATTACTTGTCAGGCACTTCAACCCGTCGGCTGCAACTACTACTAGCGCGTGAGCATACAAGCGATTCGTACGCGTACATTACAGTAAATTACCACACATGCATATTTTAACAAATCGTTACAATAGACTATATATACTTCCAAGAGTACTGGACCCCTCGACAGGGCAGCGAATTTACTGCAATTCCTATTCAGGACCGTGTAGTGCTTGGATCGGCTCGTGTGCACAGTCCTTAGTGTGCTTCTGTTTCTGTTCAGATACATACATATACATATATCGTCAATATACATATACACGAAGTGCCAATATATATATACTATACAAAGTTCCAGCCGTATATTATACAGATACTTTTGTCTGTCGATCAGCGTTGTTCAAAAATCGTTGGTAGAAGAAATTCCCGCCGATACATCCGCGCTTCAGCAAGTTTTGTAGCTGTCGTTCGTGGTACGATTTGGCGCCGCGACCGTGACGAATATCACACGGGCCGGGGGACCCGCAAGAGGCACCCGCCAGAGAAAAAACGAACTGGTTCTTTGGGTCTGGCCATCGATCTTCCAACAGAATCCACGGGCAGGGAATCCACGACTGAGGCGGTTGGATCTCAGCCAGAACTCAAAGTGCACGGGGGCAAGGTCCTACTTGCACGAATTAAGAGATGCTGACCGTAGATAGCAAAGATCAACGGCCGAAATCTCCTAATAATTGCGCAAAGTGGGACCTTGCCCCGGGGTGGAGGCTTGCTGAGGCAGAGCATTATACCACCAGTACACCCGGGGCCGAGTCCCACTAGCAGCGTTTAGTTTCCTCATGTCTGAATGTGGTCGTATTTGTGGAGATGTACGGTTGCAGAAACTAAACGTGATTGTCTGCACATATCCACAAATACGTCCAGATTCGGACGTTGAGGAAACTCAACGCTGCTACTGGGACTTGGCCCCCGGGCCTCTTTTTCCCAACCGCCAGCGGCGCACTATACTGCCAGCGCGTCACTCCTTTTCTTTTTCGGCTCGCCGCGCCAGTTTTGGTAGGCCCTAGCCGCAAAAACGATCTTCGGATTTGCACGGATTACGAGATTCTGACCGTTGAACTGCGCTATCTACGGTCAATATCTCTTAATTCGTGTAAGTGGGACCTAGCCCCGGGTTCTGGGAAGGATTCTTAGGTAGCCTAGTTTACTGCATAGTTTTGGGAGTTAGTTTTCCTGTTTCGTTTCCACCTCTTCTCCTTCCTGCTATGTTCTCCCTTTTGGCCTTTTCTTTTAGGTCCAGGGCTGTTGTTCTCTGTTGGAGGACAGAGACTATTATTTTCTTCTACGTTTGTTTTTTTTGGGCCTTTGTTTTGTCTTGGATCCGGAATAATGGGGCTCGCTGCACCACTCTAGACTCGTGAAAATTTTCTAGAGTCATTCTAGAACTGTCAGAGTCACAAAAACTCCTAAGATCTACGCATGGCCGCACTAGCTCTAGACTCTAGAAAAGCTAGAGTTGCTCTGACACTTTCTGAGTTCGGCCATTTCACTACAGGGCAGCGCCAGCCTGGGTTGTCCGTCCAGACTCAAGGCACTCTCAAGGAAAACCAAGGCGTTTCAAGGGTCCTCCAGACCTCCCTAAAAAAAATGGTCTTTGCAGTCTGGTGCTCTAGATCAATCTAGAGTGAGAAGGACCGACCCGCTCTACAGCTCAAGAAATGAAAAATCTAGAGCCAACTTATAGAGTAAGTGGAGCTATGACGACTCTATTACTTTTCTAGACAGCTCTAGAACAGGTTTCTGAGCGCCCATTTCTTGAGTAAGTGCAGCCATGCTGCACTCAAGAGAAAGCTTGAATCGAGAGTAGTACAGCGAGCCCCAATGTGAGTACCCGGCCTCAACAACTTTTTCATGAGCAATAAAGGTCCTACCTTTTGGGGAGGGAGAGGGAAAAAAAAAAAGAAGTGGGCCGGAGCGCTCAGTTGGTAAGGCACAGAAGTTGCATTCGGGAGGTCGTGGGTTCAATCCCCATTGGCCTCACGTATGTGCCTGGGCAAGCTTGGTGTTCTACCAGCTAGAGATAACCCGTTGGGCCCCCAAGCCAGCATTGGCAGGACCTTGGCTGATGTCGTTGGCTGCTATGCAGCGACAATATTGGCCACTAGACACCGCCATGTGGGGTTGGGGCGGGGTAGGGGGAGGTGCAGTGACTGGCCATTGCTCTGCGGTAGCACCGCCGATTTCCCCCATCGGCAATGCCTGCCCACCCCTCGTCACCGTGCTGAGGGACTGGTACAGCCTTGCTCTCGCACCACAGCTGTGGTGCCAACCTACCCCGTGGGCTGGGGAGAGATCCGGGTTGGTCGGTGTTCCCCCCTACTATAAATGCGTAGAGTACTGTGAGAGGATGAGATAAATGCGTATTTGCTTACGAAAAAAGATTTTAAAAAAGTTTGATTTCTTTTTTCTTCTATATTCTTCTCTCAATCTTGTTTGTATATATTTTCCTCATCTATCTCATCCTCTCGCTACGCTATGTATAATACGGGGGAACACCAACCAAACCTGGAACTCTCCCCAGCCCACAGGGTAGGTTGGCACCACAGCAGTGGTGCGAGAGCAAGGCTTGTATCAACCTCTCATCACGATGATGCGGTGTGATCAGGCATTGCCGATGGGGGAAACCAGCGATGCTACTAGTGCGGAGCATCTTTGGCCAGTCACTCGCACCTCCCCCTACCCCCCTCCAACCCCACATTAGCGGTGGAGCGTTTGATTAATTTCCTTTCTGAAACAACTCTCTTGCATTACGGGCCCACAGTACCCAAGGTCGTACAACAGCAAAGGGGTCGGGTCCCACTATGGAGGGTAGTGTGACAGGTGTGTGACAGCTTGTGGCAAGGGTGGGATACTATTTCTCCTTTTTTTTCCCCCCAGAATGACCCCCCGTGTGAGCGCCCCATGTAATTGATAGTTATTTCATTCTATTCATCTGATTTCATCTGGGTTCAAACTTGGGTCTGTACTTCAACAATACATGGGTCCACCCACTGAGCTAGGGGCCGCATTCCACACCACTTGAAACCAAGGGTTGGAGCAAAAATCATCATTCCACCCTCCCTAATGGTGCCCCTGGCTTGTTTCCACATTTGTCCTCCCTAGTGCAGTGCGTCTCCTAGAATCTTTAGGGCGGCACGTGCAAGTTCGCCCTTGAGCACAACGGCCCCTGGAGCCACGGAAAAGGCGCAATTTTTTTATTATTATTATTTTTCAACCCATATGGCATCCTGGTCCAGCGGTTGGTCCAGCCGTTGGGGAGGCTCACCACGGCTCGTTGGAAGCGGTACCGCATGCTGTGTGGGGCAGTTCCAGGCCATTCCCGCAGGGGGCCGGCCGGTCATTCAGTGGGTAGCCGTTGGATCCCTCCAGCTTGCTGTTGGTGAAGCGGAGCGGCTCGAATTCAAACACTCGTTGCAGCTAGCTATCCATCCTGGTGCCCCCGCTCTGCCATTGGCAGCATGTTATACATTAGGGCATCAATGCTCGGCCCCCCACATGAACATTATCCATCTTCGCAGCGATCCACATCTGTCTTTGTGCATGCTGACGTGAAGGGAGGCCACACACCGCTATCGGCCAATTTGCATGATAGACGTTTCGTGGAAGCTCCCTCTTCTGTGCATATCTTGTTGGTGCTTGTTGTCATCCTGGTGATGCACTTGTTCGGTTCGTTGCAGCATGGTCCACCGGCAGGCAAGTGTAAGTTGAAGTCAAGCAGGTGCGAGAAGAAAAGCGCAATGGCAGGGAAAGAGGGGTGTGATGTGTGTGCGTACAGCATGGGAAGTGGGTTGAAGGAGGGAGTTTGCATCCACCCCCCCACACACTTCGATCCTGCGCTGAATGCGCACCTACCACCCCATCTACAGCCTCTACCCGGCGACAATACGTGGGAGCCCCTGAAGTCTACATTCCCCCTCACGTATTCCACGCAGTCCATGTTGGACAGCCTAACGCAGCCCGTGCAGGGAGGGTGCAACGACGGGGCGATGGCGTCCCTCCTGTTTTCGGGAATCGGAGTTAAACTACCAGTACCTACCAGTTGGGGTGGTCGTTAATGCGGAAGCCAGATCGGCCTGCCCCTCTGGTTCAAGTTTTCAAGGCCTGGGGGTACGAAAAATGTGGTAGGTACTGGTGGTTTATGAGTGCTCCGCGGTTAGATCTGCAGGTGTCCTCCGAGGAACAAAGGACAGTGACACATATTGTACTGGTGAACAAATGCAACCAATCCTGTGGATATCCATTTGTCGAGGTGCGGGGCGGGCGCACAAATTAGGGATCGGCAAACCATTTCGGCGAGATAGACAATACCTACACACCCAGCTATGGTAAGCGGCAAACGTTGACTCCTGCGAGAGGTGGTTCATCCGCAGTAGGTTTGGGAGTGCAGAGGACAACACAAGGGGATGGCTCCACCGGGTCGCATTGTGTGGAGAGAATCATTGCTCGTGTCTATGATTTCTATGACGGAGTGACAGACGGGGAGGACATGGAAGACGTGCAGGGTGACACTAAGGAGGACGTGTGTATGGCGCCCCTTGCGCAATCTTGGGGCGCACCAACGAAGGCTGGAAGTAGGGGCAGAGGCAGAGGGAAGGCGAAAGTGGGAGAGGGGGAAGGGGGTGGGGATCCGGTGGTGGACGCACGTACAAGAGTTTGGACGAGTCCCTCGTGCTCTTGCGGTGCAAGAGGGATCAGGACGAGGCATTGGTGGTTGCGGGGACAAATTTCGCGAGGATGAAGAATAAAGAGTGGGGGTGGAAGGATATTGCGAAGTGGATGTTTGCACAGGGGATGCACAAAGAGTGGGAGGCATGTATGAAAAGGTGGGAGGACATCATCGGTTGGTATAGGAAGGTCTTGGAGAGAGAGGAGTCAGGGTTACAGGCGTTCTTCACACTCACTCCCAAGTAACGAGCAGAGAAGGGGTACAAGTTTCAAATGGATCCCAGTTGTACGGGGCCATCCATGTTATGTAGCATGGCAGTCGGACAACCCATCCTCCAAATATATGGGACACAAGGGCCTTGCACCAA